GTAAAAAATGAAAGAATAAAAATATTAGAAGAAAATTGTAAAGAATACTTAGAACATAGAAGACTTCCTGAACAAGACAAAAACAAAAAACTATCAACAAAACAAAACAAAACCCCAAAGACCAGGAGGAAATAAACTGTATTTTTTGTTAAAGAACTCTTAAGAAAAAGATAACATGTAATTCACAACAGAGATAAATGAATATTGTACTAAAATTGGGAAATGCAAATTAAAAGAAGAATGGAATACCACATTATCATCAGATTGATACCATTTTAAAAAGGCAATAAGAGTACAGGGATATTGTCAAATGCTTCAAGTTTTGGGGAAAGAAATCTGGCAGCTATATGTTAAATTAAAAAAAAATTATAAAAATATATGTTAAAAACTATGAAGTATATATAAGCACTTTATCCTGGCAATCTTATTACTGGGAAACTATTTTACATAAATAAATAAATCAACATATAAAAAAATTAGTATTTCAGGCTATTTACAACTGTAGTTTGGAGTGGCAAAAAAGCAAAAATAATCTTGCAATCCATTCACTAGAAAATGATACAACAGTTTATGAAAAGAGATTATGAAATGATCTGCTATCTTTAGGAAAAAAATTAATCTATACCATATCAACTAACCTAGAGTACCAGGACTGAGGGGCAGACAAATAAGTATGTTAATATGATTCAGTTTCTGTACAAATAAAAACAAAAAATCCTATGTGTGTAAATATGTTTACGTAAATTTGTATAGCACAGAAAAAGGAATGAAAAGGAAAAAATGTATACAGTTAATAGTAACATTGGCTATTTTAAGATTATAAAAATAAAGGAGGTTAGGGAGATTAAGTTAGTAGAACATGACAGTCTCATGAGCAAAGGGAAAAGATGGCAGGCCTGGTTCTATTAGTGAAATGCTGTCATTGCATTGTATTGTACAACAACAAAAATTAAGCTAAATGGGTGCCTGATTCAAGTTGGGAACCACTGTAATCTACTTCCCTAGCCCTTTAAGAACAGAGACGATCAGGACTTCTTACAATCATCTCATTAATAGCATACACACTGCTCAACAAATAAATAGAAAAAACTTCAAATGGTAATTTAGCTATCATCTCTACCAAAAATATTGTTTCTTAAAAAACATTTTACAGAATGTCCATTTAAATTGTTACTTACACAAGGCCAGGAAAGTATGCTTCGAATTCATCAAGACCAAAACTCTTCTTAGCAAGTCCTTGTTCATAATGTAGTTTTTTATATGATATGTGTGATGTTCCACACAAAATGTAAGTAACTCTAAAATTAAGGCAAGTAGCTGTGCTGTTTGATAATTATCTAAAAAAGAAAGTCATCTCATGAAAATAAAATATTATAATACATCTAAATAGACTAAATAAGCTTATATCCTATATATTAGAGCCATTTTCGTGTCTGTTTTTATGACAATTAAGAAGGCTGTAGATGTATACTTTTTCTTAGGCAGACTATCTGAAAGTTTTATCAGTTTTACCTACTAAGTAGATATTTTCTAACAGAAAGAAAACAATCTGAATCTACAAATGTAATATAACCTTCATTTCACTGAGTTTTCTTGGTAATGCTTCCTTAGTAAGTATTATCATTAATATTAATGATGCTATAAAACGGTTCATACTAAAGAGGAATTACTTCAAATGTTATGTCTAAAGTGCTCAATACAAATCTCTTAAGAAAAATTACTATGCTTTTTAAAAAATATTTTTTAGTTGTAGATAGACGATACCCTTCTTTCATTTATTTTTATGTGGTGCTGAAGATTGAACCTAGTGCCTCATATGTGTCAGGCAAGCACTCTACCACTGAGCCACACTGCAGCTCCAACTATGCTTTCTTTGAACACATCTAAGGGAAAGATATTTTTGGCTATTTGAATATAAAGTGAAAAAATATTACATTAAAAACTATTAATTTTAAAAGCATCAATTCATGATATCCATAAAGAGAGGCCCACTGAAATAAACTAGTGTGCTTTTCCCCCTCAAGAGGCTTTGATTTGTAAATTCAAGAAATGATTATGAATTGCTATCAAATTTTAATGTGTATTAAGGACTTATATGGATAATTATGCTGTATTACAAATGTTTTAGGCAACAAAATAGGAAATATTAAACTGTGAGAAAACTGTGGAATCACAGCCTTACAAAATAGAAAAAAAAAAAATCAACATCTCCAAATACAATTTTTTTTTAAAATACAAAAGATGATAAGCACATACTCTGTGGAAATATGAGCCCATTTGGAGTAAAGCAGCATTCTTTTTCATAACAAAATGGCCATAAAAAATATAATTCTGGTATTTCAAAGATTGCTTCCACTTTAAATGCAAGTAAAAAGTTTTACTTATTCCCAACATAAATAGCCAGGATGTCACAGCCAAAATTCCTCACCATTAAAAAATAATTTTTTTTTTCAATTCTACAATTGTATTTTAAAAAGGATGCATGGTGTTTAACAAATATCTTGTTTACCTTTTCCTACATTAGGTGAAGAAATTACTCATATTTCTACATATCTCTGTCTAACCCAATTTAATTTCTAAATAGTCTCCTTATTTGAAATTAGTTCTCCTGGAATTTTTAATTTATTTTTCGGTACTGGGGATTGAATCCGGGACCTCGTGTATGCTAAGCAAATACTTTTAACCACCGAACTACATCTTCAGACCCCATTCTACATTATTATTAGAGACAGAGGCTCCCTAAATTGCCCAGGCTGAAATGGAAATTGTGATACTCTTGTTTTGGCTTCCTGAGTGGCTGAGATTACAGGCATGAATCCCCTTACCCAGATCTCTCCAGGAAATTTGATGAACCTGGCAGAAAAGTTGAAAAGCTAGGTGCACATAGTATAGTTTCAATACTACCAGACCCACACCTATTATACCTGTTCCAAGTGGAAGTAACAATGTTTAGACTTAGGTTCAAGGATAGTAAGAACAGACAATGCCTTCTTCAAAACCATAACAGAAAATACGCTGCAAATTTACAGAAAAAAACAACTGTTTTTTCCATATTTTGTATTGAGCAAGTGAAATTTCTTCTTTATAATAAAGAAAAAAGTGAACCTATCATTTGATTTTATCTTATGTTGAAAATATGCTTTCCTTAGCCTTATATAAAAGCTTTATACTCTGAGAAAAAAATAACTTAGAATTTGTATTAGTTCAGAAAATATGAATTTATACTTACCAGGGCAAATTGTGTTGTTTTTGTTAGATCCAACTATGTTATCTAATAAAAAAAAATTACAATTAACTACTTCAGTAACAATATCTCATACCTTTCAGATACTTTTATAATATGTAAAACTCATCTTTAATCAATCACCTTTAACCTTCATAATGATCATTAAGAGCTGGCTGCCTTGGTTAGTTATATACATCTATCTGTAATCTTTCAAAAAATTGGGCGCAGATGTGGAATTATTAAAAGACAACATAGGATAAGTATTCTGATAAAAATATAAGAGACCATAACCAAAGATAAGACTGATAAATCTTCTTTTATCTCCCATTCATCATTAACAATCAGGATATTGTTATATCCTCTGGATCACATATTTAAAAACAGAAAATACAGAAATTTTAAAACTCTGGAATAACATATGTTAATGATATGCTTTAAAAAATAAAAGCAGGACATTTTTTTCAGGCATATATAGTTTATCAAGCACATATAGGTACACCGCATAGGGAAACGCATTGCACAGAAAAGCAAATTACACTGTATAAGAATGTATACTGAAGCATTCTTTTAATAGCAAAAAGCTGGACACAAAGGTATATGAGAATTGGAATAGCTAAATTATAGCCTACTCATATAAGAGAATACTGTGCAAAGATTTTTAAATGCTATTTATTTAAAAATAAATAAGAACTCAAGGTATCAATATGAATAAATCTCAAAAATAGCGTCAAATAAAAGGAAAGAATGTAGGTTAATATGTATAATCAGAATAAATTTAATATGAAAAACAATGCTCTATTATACAATAATAAGTGATAAACTCCAAATTCAGCATACCTTGAGGAATGGGGGAGTGGGATAGAATGGGAATGAGAATTTGAAGGGGCATATTTTCATTGAAAAAAATCTGAAAAGAAGTTTAGTAAGTTAGTTTTTTATAAAGCCAATACAGAGTATGAGTATTTGTTCTATTATCTATTTACTTCTGTATGCTAGAAGTGTTTTACTGTAAAATGAACATTAAATTGAGTAATTATAATTTACATAAATGGAATCATTCTATAGTAAAATCTTCTGTGATGTGTTTTTGTACCCATTCAGTTCATATTTTTGAGAACTACTCAGTTGATACATCATGAATCATTTCAATCACTATAACTCTGTATAGTATTCCATTATATGAATATACCATGCTTTATTCAGTTCCCTACAACAAACAATGCAGTAACATTCTTATACCTACCATGTATATGCATAAACATTCCCTATGTTTATAGAAATATATAATCAGAAAAAAAAAATCTATGGTATTATAGGATGTGTCTCTGTTACAACTTTATTTTTTGTAAAATTCTGTTTACTTTCTCTTAATTGATTTCCAATGTTTTCAAGATAGTTGCTAATACTCTAGTATGCCCCCACATATTTGCTTCTTCTTCTTTTTGGTACTGGTGATTGAACCCAGGGGCACTTTATCACTGAGACACATCCCCGAGTCCTTTTTTAATTTTGAGATGGGGCCTCGCTAAGTTGCTAAGGCTGGCCTCAAACTTTCAATTCTCCTGCCTCAGCCTCCCAAGGTGCTGGGATTATAGGCATTATCACAGAGTCTGGATGCCCCTGCTAATTTCTGATTTCACAAATTCAGCTGTATACTTATCTAAGTCCTTTGTTTAAGCTGGCATGTGTTATGGCAACATCATAATATGATTTAAATAGGTGGGCTCAGTGGTATACTCCTGTAATCCTAGCAGCTAGGAAGGCTCAGCCACTTAGTGTTTCACTAAGTTTTTAGGGCCTATCTCAAAATAAAAAATAGAAATGGCTGGGGATGTGGCTCAGTGGTTAAGCACCTCTGGGTTCAATCCCTGGTACCAATCAGTAACTAAATACTGCAGGATGATGAAATTTTAGATAGCTAGAATATCTACAGTTCAATTGGATATAGTAGAGATCAACTAAAAACTGATGCCGAATTAAATATATACCTGAAGATACTACTTACAACTGTAATAGGATTCTGTATTCAGACTGCCTTAAAAATATCTTTACGTTTCCACTCCCCTTTAATAAACTGAAACCAGAATTTGCAGCTTATAAATTATAGTTATAATTTACGCAATGAAGACAATAAGGGAATACAATAAAAATGCACATGAAAAGCCCTTTGCTCCTATATACTAGCATATGAGTGTACATTTACAGGTTCAATGAAAATGTTTGAAGAGCCAGGTGCAGTGGTGAATGACAGTAATCCAAATGACTAAGGAGGCTGAAGTGAGAGCATTACAAGCTGGTGGCCAGCCTCTGCAACTTAGTGAGATCTTGTCTCGCAAAAAGGGTTGGGGATGTAGCTCAGTGGTAAAGTGCCCCTGGGTTCATCCCTGGTACCAAATAAAATTAAAAAACATCATTATTTGCTTTAATCAACTTTTTGTTTAACCCTTCAATCAATTTCTGACCCTGACATTGTGAAATAAGAGGGCTTTCACATAATGTTAAATTGTTCTTCGGAATTGATGTTTCTTGTAGGTTTTTGTTTTTTGATCCTGGGAATGAAACCCAGGGAGACCTTATCACTGAGCATACTTGCTCCTTTACATTTTTTTGTTTTTGTAAGAGAATCTGCTAATATGCTGAGAGTCACCTGGAATTTTTGATCCTCCTGCCTCAGCCTCCTGCATCACTGAAATTACAGGCTTGTGGCACTGTCCCCAGCAGTACCCTCAGATTTCTAATGTAGCAATACACTGTCTGCTCTTAACTCTCTCCAGATAATCTATTCTAACTCTGGGGACAGTCTCCTTTTTTAAAGTGTCTCTGTCTCTCTCTCTATCAGTATGTAATACTTTTAGCCACATTTTTTATATCATTCTGTCCCACAGACACTCAGAAACAAGGAAAATCAAGAATTTTACTGCAGTATAAATATTTCAGTAGTAATTTCCCTGTCACATAAAGCACAAAGTAAACAGCATGTTAGTTTTAATATTTATTTCACTTGTATTTAAAAACAGAAGTCCTAAGCAGATAAAAAGAGAACCTACCTTTTTCACATTTGTCTTCTGAAGTATTAGTTAAAAGTGGTGCTGTTAGGACATGCATACAATGATTGTAGAAGAAGTTTAGAAATTCACTTTTCTCAGTTTTCTGAAACAAACAGAATTAAGAAAACATCTTCAAGCATTATTAGTGCAGGTCATATACTAACAACACATTTTAAGATAAGGTGAAAAGAACCAAAAACTAGTTATATAATGTGAAAGAACCAAAAAATGGTTATAGTCACTTTAATACTATTTTTTTTTGCAGAAATGAAAAACCAAGTCTTTTATATTATTTTATTTAATAAAATAAAAATGGAAGTATGATAGAATACTAAAATGTTTTTCAGAACAATTGTTTTTTTTTTCAAAGATGTTGGTGATATGAAATGTAAGAACAATCAATCTTCCATACAACAAGGTAATTACAATTAACAGCAACGTATTCCATACCTGAAGTTGCTAAAATTAGACTTTAAAGTGTTCTTGCCACACATAAACTTGAAGTAACTGTGAGGTAAAAAATACAACCAACTAACCAAACATAAGAACAGCATATATCTTAATAGTTACTACTGATCATTTGTTTCTTATTGTATAGCTTCCTGATTCTTTTCCCAAGAATGTAACAAAGAAACAAATGAATAGTAGTGGTTATTAAGGTATATGCTATTCTCACTTTGCCCAACAATGTTTGGTTAGTCGTATAAAATTCTTTCATCTTTAAAAGAGTATAATTCAAAAGCAGAAAAATATCTGTTTCTAAAGAAAAACCAAAAACATTTAAAAAAAGAAAACAAAAACAAAAACAAACCAAACCAAACAAATGAAAGAAAGAAAGAAAGAAAAAGAAGTTTGGTATGAGCTACCACAATATTAATCCCAGCAAGTTGGGAGCCTAAGGCAGGGGAAATCACAAATTTGAGGCCAGCCTTGGTAACTTAGTAAGACCCTATCTCAAAATAAAAAACAAAAAGGACTGGGAGCTCAGTGGTAGAACATCTGTGGTTTAAATAAAAAAGAAGGAAAACACAGACGTGAACACATGTGCCATGTGATTGGTAAAGTGCTTAAAATCAGGAGCCCCAGATTGCAATACCTATCCAAATTTGAAAAACTGCTGAATTAATTTATTAAGCCAATATGCAAAAATATGAAAATTATAATTCTTTAAATTTTAATAGTTTACAATTTAGAAAATAATATCTTGACTTTTTGCCATTATTTTTCACACAATTGGGCCCACAAACAAGATTTAAAAATAATGTACGTATTCTCTAATTTCAAGGGAAAATAAAAGTAAAAAGGGCTGGGAATGTAGCTGGGTTCAATCCTTTAGTACTGCCAAAATTAAAGAGAATAGAAAAGAGATCCTTAAGAATACATTCTTCTTTTATGATAAAAACTATGTAAAATTCACCCTTTATCACTTTATAGTAAGCTGTTTAGTTGTTTCAATGATATTCATAATGCCATGTATGAATTTTTATGATGTTAACAGATTATCAAGATTTTAATAATTATAAACTCGTATATGATACAACTGAATTGTTACAAGAATACCACTGTTTCTTGAATACTACGTATACAAAGGAAGGTATTTACTATTTGTCAAAATCTCATTGCAAAGCGAGGTGAAACTGCCCATGTCCAAATTTTTAAATATCAGGGTGATTTCTTACATTAGTTGTAGCCAGCATGTTCTCTGGATCAATTAGAGTACGAAGAAGTCCCATTAACTGAACTGCACCTCCTAACTCAGGATCAGTATCACAGATCATCTGTTCAATTACTACATTAATAAGAAGAATATCCTGAAAGAAAACATGTTTCCATTAAACCCCTGATTGGATGTAAGACAAATACACCAACTGAAAGAACAATATCAGAATCATATAAAGAAAAAAAACAACAAACACAAGAGTTTCTTTAAACTTTTTTCTTCCTAGTGTTTTTCAAAATTCTAAAAACACTAGACTGAAAAAATATCACTCCAAAAGAAAGAAATTAAGAAAAAAAAAAAAAAAGAATATGCCCCGGCTTATAGGAAAATAAAAAACACAATATAGTGAATATTGTTCACTAGAGGTTCTACATTAGATTCTCATTCTAGATTTCAGCCTCAGGCATAAATTTAGAGGTTGACTAAACAAGTAGATCACACATTGTGTTATATTAAAACACAGAAAATCTGAAAACCACTCAGCAAAACAAACAAAAATGACAGACAAGGAGTATAACCTAGTAATGTAACTCTTTTAGGAGATGAGTGGATGAACACTGTTATATAATTATCTAATATTAAGTAGATTTGCTATTTTAGCTTTAAGAGTCAGAAAGCAACTGGCAATACAAAATATCTTTGCATTCTATAGATAAAAAAGTAGAAATTCTAAGCATAACAGGACAAAAAGTAATTGGTATGTCAAAAAATGTTTTGACATTAGCTCAGTGGATTTGAGGAACATGTTCTGAGAAATGCATTACTAGGCTATTTTGCTGTTGTTCAAACACCACAAAGAGAAGTTACAAAACCCAGATGGCACAGCTTGTCATATACCCAGGCTATATTTATAAATATATGGTATGGCCTACTAAATAAATCAAGCACAAGAGGAAATGATGCAATCAAGAAAAAAATGGTCCCTTCCTAACATAGCATACTGTTTTGTAGTGAGAGTTTTTTTTTTTTTTTTTCCAAAGAGACAGGATCTTGGCATTCTTATCCAGGCTGGTCTTCAACTCGAGGGCTCAGGCAATCCTCCTGTCTAAGCCTCCCAAGAAGCTGGGACTATTGACACATACCCCCTTATGACACAGTAAATCTGTGTTTGAATATGTTTATGTAAATTTGTACAGGTATAGAGAAAATGAAAATGAGATATAAAGGAAGTTAACACTAGTTATTTTAAGGCCATAAAATAAAGGAGGTTAGGGAGATTAAAAGTCACTAGTAAATGAAAGTTTGATGAAGTAGATGGAAAAGAGAGCAGGCCTAAAAAATGATTTTTAATAGGTACATATACACTCCAAAATAACAAAAATGTAGTTGTTTATTATCAAATGTTATGTAATATACATAATAATATGTGCTGCTATTTCTTCAAAGAAGAATTACAAAATAAATTTCACAGAGCTATGCATTATAAAGAAATGATAAATGTTTGAGAAGGCAAATGTGTTTACCTTGATGTAAATATTACACAGGGCTGGGGATGTTACTCAGTGGGGTAAACCGTTTGCCTAGTGTGAGCAAGGAATTGGGCTTGATTCCCCCTACTATACACACATACACAAATTGACCCCCTACTACACACACATATACAAATTGATAAATGTATACACATATCGAGACACAAAGACCCCATAAATATGTACAAAACAACAATGAGTGTTGGTGAAGATGTGGGGGAAAAGATACAATCATACACTGCTGGTGGGATTGCAAATTAGTGCAGCCAAAAGTTCTTTAGAACTTTTTCAAGACAGTAAAACTTGAGAAAGGG